TTACTTTTAAAGTATACAATTATATACAAAATATCTGTAGTTTAAAGCATAAAATTACATAAAAAATATTTTGATTTCACCATTAAATAACCCATAGAGGTTGATATGTTGCTAGACAAATTCAATCAACGAACGAAACACCCGACATGAAAAACATGACATTAATCCATATAATATCCTACAATATCTTAAATCAAACTGTATTCCAAAATATAACTTCAAGAAAACCACATAATGCACACATATCACCGCCTCTTGTATATATGTCCACACATATATGTATATGTACAAAAAACGGAGTATCATTTACCATGTATTCAATTTTGAAAGCAGAATGAAATATATCATATTTTTATGGCTTAAAAGCTACAAATAACATTACATTTTGGCATTAAATGACCCATAAGGAGTTGATGTGCCGTTAAACAAACAAATCAGTGAATCATGTATCCAAAATCTCGCTGAAAGCCCTACTATGAATTTGCACGTCCAAACAAATACAGCATCTGCTACGCTTTGGCTGCTTTCGATCGGGATGCGGCAAATCTGTCTGATGGAGCCAGTTCAACCAATCCCGGGTGGATGCTGAAACAAGTAGAGATAATTAAGTAATCCATGAGGGTAACTGATGCTATCTGGAAAAGAAATGGTAGGATATTCGCTCGAAGGAGACACCATTGACATTTGCCTATGTTCACTAGCGTCAGACAAGTGAAAGTTGAAAAAGCAGGACGTATTTCTGTTTGACCGTGTTAACTTGTTCGAAAAGTAATGTCGCATCGAAAGAGAGGCTGAAAGAAAGAGAGAGAATAAAAAGAAAAAACTTGTTGAAATGTAGCCAAAGTTAAAAATGTCAGAATCGTAATGATCAATACTAACATTTCAGAGTGTTTCGCTGTCAATCTGAGGACAGTGCAGAGGATTTGGAAAGATTTAGGTGAGTCTGGTCGTGATTACGAACATAAGGCAGCTCGGAAAACTCACTCTGGTCTTTTCTGATAAGAAAACAACTCTCGAATTGGTTGGTGAGGGCCTCAGGCTCAACACGGAGGCATACGTCAAGTGACTTGAGGAGGTAGTGTTGCCCTGGGTCAAGAGGGTGACTGCTGAAAGACACTATGTCTGGAACAGAACTCTGCCACCATGCCACACAAACAAAAGTATTCATTCATGGCTGTCAGACAATTTCTGCGACCATATCGCCAACTAGATGTGGCCACCTCACCTCCCATGTGTATTCTTCGTAAGTAGTAAGATTTTGTCGATTCGTTACAGGATATTAGACTACGAGAAGAAAACCATGAAATATTTCATTTTGTCTAGAACGAGTAAAGTATAGTTATTTACCCTGATCACTCCACTAAGACGGGCCGTGCTACAAAATTGAATTTAACATGGGGAATCCGAGCCCGTACACGCGGGACAAGGAGAGAATTACCCACACTTGCACTGGCATTGGTATAACTACTGATCCCGCCTCTATAGTACAAAAGTGTGAGTGAAGCCTCGAGTAGTTGTCCCCCGTAATGATTTTATAAGCCTAGCTTAGATTTGGCCGAAAGTATGGAACACTCAGTCGTAATTGATTTAACGAGACCTTTTGAATTCCTAAATGTAGTTTAGATGTGGCCGCAGGCTGGAATCGAACTCATTACTCAATTATATTTGATCTAGGAAGACGAGACTGCTAAGCATTTACAGCCCGTCGAAGTGTCCTGAATGAGGAAAGTATGAGAGACTTGCGCGAAGAAAAACCTAATTTACTCAGCGGAAGGCGTGTCATCGTTCAGAATGCCAAATGCGTTTCACAGAATAAATACTTGAAAAGATCAAATTGGAAAGGCTGGAAATAATTAACGCAGAACCCGTTTTCTTGAATTTTTACACCTTGCAAGCCATATATCTTACCTGTCAGGGAAATGTTCCGAACGCCCTCTAGGTGGTATTATATAAAGCAATACAAAATGAAAGAGCACAAAAGCCTATCTTTTCGTTCGCTTTTCAACCACAGGAATCCGGAGTGACAAGACGTTTCTAATTTCCTCAACTGCGGCAGTACCCAAGGACAGGGACGTGGGCTGGTACCGGCCGATATCAAATGTGTAACGTTCCGGTATCATTTGGTAACTAACCGTGGACCATTTGGTACCGGCCGTTGACCATTTTGCACTCAAGCCCGATCGCCGAAGTTAAGTAACTTCGCACCTGGTCAGTATCTAGATGAGTAACCGCATGGGAACACCAGGTCATATAAGCTTGGTCGTGCTTGGTGGTGTGAAGTATAATGGCTCGGAATTCTTAAGCGGATAGCCGAGTTCCAATTCCAGTTGGCTTTGTTATATTCACTTACACGCAAATACCTTTGGGAAAGATATAAATTCACTACTTCTCAGCCCCCGCATATGGGTTAATTAGTAAAACTAGTATCACTGAATAATTATTATCTCAAAAAAATCTTATAATCTAAAAATATTTTCTGGTTTTAAATAAGCTGCAAAGGGGTTGGTAAGCCGTAAAAACGAATCAATCAATCAATAAAACATATAAATATATATCCCCCTCTAACGCTAGAAAATATTCTAGTTCGACAATCGGGAAAACACTGCTACAAACTGATGACTCCCGTAACAAACTGGTAAACTAATGTTATTATATGTTTCTAAAAAAAAGTATACTGCTAGTCACTTTCTCACACAAGTAGTTAGATAAAAAACGGATTTTTTTTTCTTTTCTGAACGACATTGCATCTATAGTTAAATATATGAAAAACTATGTGGTTGAATTCATCAATTATTGATATTGTTAGAATGTCCAACTGATAATTGAATGCGTCTGTCGATATTTCTGAGATGAAGTTCAAGGACACTTTGCATAGTGGATAAAGGCGTTAGATCTAGTGGCAGGACCCAAAGAGTGTGAGTTCAATACCTGGTTAAGGCGGTGGAGAACTTGGAGAGGGGAATTAACAGGAGATAACTGACAACTGGCATCCATTAGACATGGCACGTGGAACTAGAACAGTCTACCCCAGTGAGCGAAATAAAGGGTTCAGTTCAACATTCCAACCACCTAAAGAAGGCCGGAGTGTCCAACGGCCGAAACGTTGTAATAAATATGGCGACAAATATGAGGATAATAGTCAGAATAATGTAAATAGTGTGATAATTGAATGATTGAATGTTTCGTTTTTTACGACTTATCAACCCTTTAAAAGCTAGAAAATATTTTTAGAGTGTAAGAACTTTTTTTTTTTTATGGGGGATAATAAAAATTTGGTAATACAAGTCTTACTAATCGACCTCGTATCCGGAACATTCTTCGTAAACATTTTTGTCGTAGGGAACTCGCCTCAGGACTTTTCGCCGTATAAACATTCGCCGTATAGGAAATTTTTGCTGAAAGACAATTTCGCCGTATTTTTTATATCCTTATTTTGAACGTCCCTTTTGGAGTAAAGGTTAATTTAATATGCGAATTACCTTGTTAGCAAGTAAATATGGCGGTCTTTTTAACAGGGTCAAACACCAGAAAAGAAATTAAAAAGCAAACATTTATTTAAAAAGTTGGTTGCGTATTCAAGTTATAAGTTTGATTGAAATATTATATACTGCTTGAATGAGAATTATTGGCAGATTGATATTATGTTAGTAGAAATTTTAACGTGAAATCTGAAATATGAAATTGCGTGACGTAGATTCTGGCGTCAAATTGAAATTTTTGTGCTCCTCACCGACGAGGATGAATGATGTAGGATTTTGTTCCTATAACTTCGCTTATTAAAATGTTTAAATCAAAGTAACAATAGTGTGAGCCAGATAGACTTGATAACAAGGTACCTACGGCGAAATTGTCTTAGAGCAAAAATCCTATACGGCAAAATTTTCTTTTTTTCTTTTCTTTTTTTATTTTTAAGCAATTCACCCCAAGCTAGGCAGGATTGCTACTAGCACGCAAGGTTTTACAGAGGGTTGAGAACAAGAATAAAGAGGCCTGTTTGAGGAAATGATACAGAGAAGGATGAAGAAGAAGATCAAAGTATCAGAAGATGTCGATTGACATTACACTTGAATATTTGAAGCAAGCAAGAGGCGGGGAGTTTCACAGATGGGAAGTGCGAGAAAAGAAGCTGTTTGAGGAGAAGAGACGGCTGCACTTAACCGTTTCGACAGCAAAAGGGTGGGACCGAAGTCTGAGGCTAGTTTTCTTACGGAATAAATGTTTGCGGCGAATATCCCTGGAACCAATCAATCCATAGCTTTGGGTGAGAAGAGTTAAATCTATACCTTTCGCAGGGGTATTTGCGAATATAACGAACGAGACTAATAATAATCCCTGGACATTATCCATTAAACCACTCGCACACCTAAGATTACGATCTGGTTTACCCATCTAGTTACTGACCAAGCTCGAAGTTGCTTACCTTCGGTAATCGTACGTGAACCGGTGTCTCAACGAAATATGGCTGTAGGCCTCAACTGATAATGTCTTTACAAATGCTTTCGTAGAACTATAAAACGATTCAATTCGTTATGATGCAACGCAATCGTCCGAGGCGAGCTAGGATTTTACAAGAACTGTTTCGCGATGGCTCAATTTTTAACTCAAAAGCCGACATTTGTTTGGCAATTGATTTTGAGCAAAATTAGACCCTGAATAAATCAAGGCCAAGAAATGTCAAACTTGAAATAAAAAACGAGAAATAAAAGGAGAGATTTATTTCCGATTTCGAAGAATACATCATGCCCATCTAATGGGATTTGTAGCATACCTCCCATCGCCAAGTCGATCAACAATGCAGAAAGGTCGATTGAGATAAATAGACCACGTGTTAGAAATCGAAAATTGGAAAGATTTATGACTTTTGTTCAAGATTGCAATATAATTTATTTAAAATTACAATATATATTTTTCTCAAAGGAATCGGTAATGGAAAAAAGGCGTGGTATATTGAGTCCAAATCATCGAGTTATCGAGGAAAAGAAACAACAGTGGAAATGTACAAACAGAGAGAGTATTCATTAGTGTACGAATAAAGGGAATAGAATTAACAGCAAATAAAAAAGAGGCAACAATAGACATTAGTGAACAAAGAGAGGGGCTAGGATTCTCAATTGATGAAAAAACGCAGCAATACTCGATGTGCTCGGGGAAATGGACTAAGATTCGCAGTTGATGAAAAAAGAGACTATAGTACTCGACAGTGCCCAGGGAAAGTGTCTAGGATTCACAGTAAATAAAAAAGAGGCAACAATACTGGATAGTGTTCGGGAAATGGACTATGATTCGCAGGGGATGTAAAAGGGGTAACAACAATACGAGATAGTGTTCTAGGAAAGGGACTAGGATTTGCAGGGGAAGAAAAAGAGGCAACAATATTTGATGCAGTTCGAAAAAAGGGGAGTAGTATTTTAAAAGAAATAACAGTACTCCATACAGTTCTGAGAAAAGAACTAATATTCAACATGGAGTAAAAAGCTGCAACAATATTCCATAGTGTTCAGTAAAAGAACTAAGTTTCACCGTGGAGGAAAAACAGTCAACAATAGTACATATAGTTTTGAGAAAAGGACTGAGATTCACGTTGTATGAAAAACACGCGATATTGTTCGGGGAAAGGGGACTGAAATCATAGTGAATGAAAAAGTTAACAATATTCTATATAGTATTCGGGGGAAAGGGACTAAAATATTCTGCAGATGAAAAAGAGGCAAAAATATTCGATAGTGTCCGAGAAAGGGACTAAGATTCACTGTAGACAAAAAAGAATCAACAATGCTCGATAGTGTTCGGGAAAGGTACAAAGATTCATAGTGAATGAAAAAAAGGGATCAATACACGATAGTGTTTGCTGAAAGGGACTTAATTTCGCAGTGGATGAAAAAAAGGTAGCAACAATACAAGACAGTGTTCGGGAAAAGGTCTAAGATTCGCAGTGGATGAAAAAAGTAGTAACAATACTCGATAGTTTTCGAGGATAAGGACTAAGATTCACTGAGCATAAAAAAGGCAACAATACTCGATAATGTTCAGGGAGAGGCACTAAGATTTGCAGTGGATGAAAAGAGGCAACAAAACTCGATAATCTTCGCTGAAAGGGATTAATAATAGCAGTGGTTAAAAAGAAACAACAATAAACGAAACAGTTCGTGGTAAGTGAATTATTATTCACAGTTGATTGTAAAAGAAGCAACAATACTCCATATATTTCGGAGAAATGCAAACAGTGTATGTAAAAAAGGCAACAATATTGGATAGTGTTCGGGAAATGGATTAAGATTCGCAGTCGATGAAAAAGCGGCACTAATACACCACATATTTTTGGGAAAAAGATTAAGATTCACTGTAGATGAAAAAGCTGCAATAATACTCGTTAGTGTTCAAGGAGAAGAACTAAGATCTGCAGTTGATGAAAAAGTGGCAACAATACTCGGTAGTGTTCGGGTAAGGGACTAAGATTCACACTGAATGGCAAAGAAACTACAATACTCGACAGTGTTCGAGGAAAGAGACTAAGATTCGCAGTGGGTGAAATAGAAGCAACGATACTTGATAGTTTTCGGGGAAAGGAGGGACAAAGATTCACTGTAGCTGAAAAAGCGGCAACAATACTCGTTAGTGTTCGTGGAGAAGAACTAAGATCCACAGTTGATGAAAAAGAAGCAACATTACTTGGTAGTGTTCGGGTTAGGACTAAGATTCACAGTGAATGACAAAGAAACTGCAATACTCGACAGTATTCCATGAAAGAAACTAAAATTCGGATGAAAAAAAAGGAAACAGTACTTGATAGTGTCCGGGGAAAGGGACAGAGACTCATTGGGAATTAAAAAAACAACAATAGTTGACAGTGTTCGGTTAAAGGATAAGAAAAGTGGATGAAACAATACAATACTCGATAGTGTTCGAGGAGAGGGACTAAGATTCACCTTAGATAAAAAGAGGCAACAATACTTGATAGTGTTCGGGAAAAGGGACAAAGACTCACAGTGAATTAAAAAAAGTCAACAATATTCGACAGTGTTCGGGAAAAGTAACTAAGATTCGCAGTGGATGAAAAAGAGGCAACAATACTCGATAGTGTTCGAGGAAAGGGACTAAGATTCACTGCAGATAAAATAAAAAAAAAAAAGAAAAGAAAAAAAAAGAGGCAACAATACTTGATAATGTTTAGGAAGAGACATTAACATTCACAGTGGACGAAAAAGAAGCAAAAATGGATTCCGGGAAAGGTGCTCAGATTTACAATGCATAAAAACGAAGAAGTGTTCGATGAAAGTCAACAGAGGCCGTTTACGTATCAAATGGTGAAACATTCATAAAAATTGTGTAGCTCTTCTGCAAAAAGATATCTCATTACTTATGCAAAATATAGTCGGCGAATGTATATTTATAGTTGCGAAATAAAATATTTGAAAACCCCAAATTCGAAAACTCTCCCTGGATAAGACATCGAACACTAATGTGTTGACAATGAAATATCCACTCACGAAGTTTGCGTAGTTTATTTGATGCGCTGTCCATTTTCGGAATACGCTGCCTTCGATAAAGGATCACAGAATAAGAAAGGAAATGATTGTCTCAGACATGACTGGGTCGTGCGAATTCACAAAGCAGGTGAAATCAGGATTCGAACAAAAGAAAACAATGATAATATTTTAATATTATATTATAATTATTGATACCAAAGCTCCCAGCTTCTCTAGATAATTCCCGTCACGAACAGCCTCGACAATGTTGACAGCGATTAGCCAGATGAGATGAGGGAGCTAATATAGTTCTTTGAAATTTCAATGACGTCAAGACAGGCTGGTACTGCCAAACACTACATTTAGTATGAATTCATCATGAAAATTCAGAATATCTGTTTAGTAAAACCTAAGGACGGCACGGTGAAGTAATGTATAGCGGCTCGGGTTGAGGTGCTAGTACCCTTGGGAAAGGTATGAATCTCCCAAAAATTGCAACGTCAATTGTCATCTTCCGTATCTATGAATCAGATTCTTTTTATTGTCCTTTTTCTTCCGTAACGTTTTCTCAGTTTCTTTCACTTTTTCATTCTCACTAACGCCACCTTTTTGTCTTAGCGGCTTTATCGCCTTGAAAACATTAACGAAGTAGCTATTCCAGGTGAGAAGACAAGATTGAGATAATCATGGCAAAGAAAGAAAAAAAGAAAAATATCGCTCTTGCATAAGACAAACCGGAGACACGGTGGCGTAATGGATAGCGGCTCGGCTTGAGGAATCGGAGAACCGAGTTCGAATTCCAGTTGAATACATTACATGGCAGCCTACCGCCTCGTCAGTCATGTACCGAAAAATATGTGATCGCCTAAGCGTCTGTTACGCATGGCACATAACTGACTGAAACACTAAACACTTCAAATGTCTGGATTAGTTGTAACAAGTTTAATATAAACATTAATCTGAAATCTCGCGTCATCTTCTTTAGTCTCGTGAAATCGAGACTTTCATCTGGATCTCATGGCGCAAAACCCGTTTAGAAAAATCTAAACTGTCTGCTGTATACGTCCGCTTTCTAAGATCAATGTTTAAAAATGTCTTTTTTAGCCTGTGACGCCTATGCGTATTATTAAAGAGGCACGGTGGAGTAATGGATAGCGGCTTGGATTGAGGAATCGCAGAGCCGAGTTCGAATTCCAGTCGAATCCATTACATTCACTTACGTGCTAACACCCTTGGGAAAAGAAGTGAATCTTTTTTCTTCTCCCTCCAGCTATGGGTAAATAGCAGGACAGACTGGGTTCTATAGCCTTTGATGGCAACTGGTCTAGGAGAAGGAAAACTCTGAATTCAAACCTGCTCTTAGAGCCTTAATTGGCAATCCATTTAGTGTTGGTGTCACGATAAAAACACCATTGATAGCCTTAGCGAAGTATCAAGAATTCAGCTATTTGACAAGATTGTGAACTACACCAATCAAAGTATTGGTGAGTTCAATCTCGGCTGAGGCCGCAAGATGTTTAGTAAAGAACATACTTCCACGAACCGTGTAAACTGGAGCTACATAATCACAAACCAAAGAACAAAGAACAGAAACAGAAACAGAGGAGTCATTCAGCAATAGCTGAAGGAAATAGCACATACAACTCGAAGAGAAAATGGCGACATAAGATGTTGACATTCCACACTACTTCAAATAAAAGGTTAGGAAGGAAACCTCTATTAGTAGTGAAAAGAGAGACAACTCGTCACGACAAAACCTATTTTATTGAAAAAATTTTTAGAGCAAGATAAACGTCAACCGATCGAAGCACAAGCTTCTTGATCAATGAATGCCGAATGTTTTCCTTATTGAGAAAGTATGAGGCACTCAGTGAGTATCGAACTCACTACACAGTCGTTATTGATCTAGCGAGCCAAGCTTCTTGAACATAGTGATTTTCCAAGCTTAGATATGGCACAAGGCAGAAAGTACGGGGCACCCAGTGAAGCCTGAACTCACTACTCAGTCGTAATAGTTCTAGCGAGACAAGCTTGCTAACCATTACACTGCCTCGAGGTGCCTAGTGATTTTCCAAGCGTAGCTTAGATGTGGCACAAGGCCGAATGTATGAGGCACCTCAGTCGTAATAGTTCTAGCGAGACAAGCTTTCTAATAATTACACTGCCTCCACGTGCCCAGAGATATTCCAAGCGTAGCTTAGATGTGGCACAAGGCCAAAAGTATGAGGCACCCAGTGAGGACTGAACTCGCTACTCATTCGTGATAGTTCTAGCGAGAAAAGCTTGCTAATCTTTAAGCTGCCTCGGGGTGCCCAGTGATATTCGAAGCGTAGCTTAGGTGTGGCACAAGGCCGAACGTATGGTGCACACAGTGAGGATCGAAATCACTACTCAGTCGTAATAGTTCTAGCGAAACAAGGTTGATAACCGTTACACTGACTAAAGGTGCCCAGTGATATTCTAAGCGTAGCTTAGATGTGACATAATGACAAAAGTATGGGGCGCCCAGTGAGAACCGAACTCGTTACTCATTCATAATATTTCTAGCGAGACATGCTTGCTAATCATCACACTACCTCGAGGTGCCCAGTGATTTTCTACGCGTAGCTTAGATGTGGCACAAGGCCGAAAGTATGGGGAACCCATTGAGGACTGAACTGATAATTCAGTCGTCATAGTTCTACGAAATAAGCTAGCTAATCATTACACTGCCTCGAGGTACACAGCAATTTTCTACGTCTAGCTTAGATGTGGCACGAGGCCGTAATGTGGGGCATCAAGTGAGGACTGAAATCACGACTCAGACGTAATAGTTCTAGCGAGACAACCTTGCTAATCATTACACAGCCTTGGAGTGCCCAGTGATTTTCCACGCGTAGCTTAGATGCGGCAAGAGGACGTAATATGGGGCACCCAGTGAGGACAGAACTCACTACTCAGACGTAATAGTTCTAGCGAGACAAGCTTGCTGATCATTACACTGCTTCCTGGTGCCCAG